TTGCTTGAAGATATGATGTGATAAACGATTATTGTACTTTTCAGTTTTATTGGATCGATAAATCAACAATTCTCTTTCTGTCGAATCGTGGATCATCGGGACACACTCAAATTTTTCAACTTAACCTCCCCGATGATGTCTCAAAAGTCGATTCTTTCATCGAACCAATTCAAATTACTGAGTTTCCATTGGATGTTGATAATCTTTTAGTTAATCGTCAAGCGTCCCGCTTGGCTTTCAGCTGTCAGGTCTACGCAAATCTAACAATCGAACAAACCGCTGCTCGACTTGCCGAAGAGAAAGAAAGCAATAGCTTAGTTTATACATTTGACAAATTATTTATTCGTCACTGGGATGAATATATGACTGGTCGCCGTTATCACCCTTTTGTTGTTTCAATTGAACGCAATGCCCAAGGAACATTTAAATTAACATCAACAATAGTCGATGTTCTATCTGGTATCGATAGTGACTCACCGACACGCCCGTTCGGCGATGCGAAATCACAATGGTCATTTAGCGCCAGCGGCAATTCATTCGCATTTACAAGACAACATGATGAAACCAGCGAAGTAGCCTGGTCGACTAATTTGGACATTTATACAGTAGATTTAACTCAAACAGTTGTAACAAATAAATGTATTACTTGTACTAATCTTGCAGCTGATCAAGATCCGAAATATTCACCTACGGATGACAATATTTTAGTCTATCGAGCACAATCAGTTCCCGGCTATGAATCGGATCAATACAAGATAAAGTATTACGATGGTGAGTAGAAACTATTTTCAATGAGTATATTTTACACTTAATACTTGTATACACTTCAGGTACGACAACTAAAACATTAATGGATGATTGGGACCAAAGTATTCAAGTAACAACTTGGACCGATAATGGTAAATCACTCTTTCTCGAACTTGGTGAACAAGCGAATCATGTTATTTATCAACTTCTCGATGTTCATTATCCGAATATGACCGTTGTTCCTCGAGGATCCGTCAGCGGAACTTCACGTGACATCAATCCCGATCCGACCGATGATCAAACATTTGTCTTAACATATGAAAATTTAGTTAAACCTACGAATATTATTCTACAAAAGGGTACCGTCTCGTTTCCAGCCACTAAACATAACGATATGCTAATCGATCGAGTACGTTGGAGCCCCACTTATGAACCATTCTCATTCGAAGGCGCACAAAATGAAACTGTTTGGGGATGGCATGTTCCACCAGTGAGTGGCACTAGCCAGAAAGCACCACTGGCTTTTCTCATTCACGGTGGTCCTCAAAACAGTTGGTACAATACCTGGGGTCGCGGTTGGAGTTTTCAATCATTTGCTGCTCAAGGCTATGCTGTCATAGCTATCAACTTCCATGGTTCAGATTCCTATGGACAAAAGTTTACGGATAGCATCACTGGTGAATATGGAACACTACCTTTCGAAGATCTTGAATTAGGGCTGACAGCTGCATTAAACAAATACGCGTATATTAACGGTAGCCGAGCGGTTGCTTTAGGTGCAAGTTACGGTGGATACATGATCAATTGGATTGCTGGACATCCTAAAATGAGTCAACGCTTTCGAGCACTTGTTAATCATGACGGTTTATTTGATATGCGCGAAATGGCCTATGTTACAGAAGAATTATGGTTCACTGAACATGATGCCGGTGGTTTCCCTCAATATGTAAATCCTGAAGCATACGAGAAATTCAATCCAGTCAATCACGTAGCCAATTGGACACAACCNGGTGGATACATGATCAATTGGATTGCTGGACATCCTAAAATGAGTCAACGCTTTCGAGCACTTGTTAATCATGACGGTTTATTTGATATGCGCGAAATGGCCTATGTTACAGAAGAATTATGGTTCACTGAACATGATGCCGGTGGTTTCCCTCAATATGTAAATCCTGAAGCATACGAGAAATTCAATCCAGTCAATCACGTAGCCAATTGGACACAACCAATGCTTGTTATTCAAGGTGGACGTGACTATCGTGTACCTGATACGCAAAGTATCGGCACATTTACTGCTTTACAACGCCAAGGAATACCCAGTCGTATGTTATATTTTCCAAAAGAAAACCATTGGACATTGAATGCATTCAATTCGGTAGTTTGGTATCAAGAAATTTTTGATTGGATGAAACAATGGACGAACTGATCTTTTTTTGTCAATATTAATAGATTAAACACTGTTATCACACCATGAAAAGGATGAGAAAACCTGGGAATTTATTTACACATTAAAATGTACTAATAAAGACGAGCAATAATAGTCTGTAATCTTCTCCATTCTGTCACAAAGAAAAAAGCTTTTCGCTATTCCTTTGATTAAAAAACAGCAACTGCAGCTCGCTAGTTTATGTGAACTAGTTGCTTGCACTCTGCTTTACCGTTGTCGTCAAGTTGCTCATCGACAAGTCGATTATATAAAAATAGAAAGCGGAATATACAGAGCAATTCATTTTAAGCAAATTGATATTTTCCCTTGAAGTTTTGGCTGTTTTGAAAAATCCTTTGTTGAGTTTCGCTTGCAATTCGTTCCATTTTTACAATAATTCGCCTCTTGGTACATACCTGTACGATTTTCTAGGGAATACACTACCTAAAAATATCACAATAAACATCTGAAAATCATACCAATATAGAGAGCGTGCATAAATTATTTGCATATAACTAATGAAAGCTCGTTTCTCATGAAGAATATGCTTCATTCATTTTAGAACTGAACGTGCAAATGTCGGCAAGAAAATTGCTTCTGTTGGTCGTTTTCCTCTTGGTGAAACGAACAATTTCACAGGACATACGAGCTGTAGATATATCTATTGTCAACGGTACACAATTTCATTGTGCTACCACAACATGCTTACCATTTAGTAAAAACGTCGTCTCGGATATTTTCAATTGTCGAATAAACTGTTTAGCAGTATTTCAATGCCAAGCAGCTCGTTTCAATCAAGTCACTCTGGAATGTGCTCTGTTTGGTGTTTTATACGGCTTTAATGGTACTATGGTGTCTGATATAAATAGTATTACAATGATTGTCTCGACTGGAATGCGAACTCCACCAGGTACAAGCGAAAAATGAATTCTAAAGATTTTTTCTGCTTATTCCTGTAGAATCTGAAAGCAATTGGGTTGTTAATGGCGATGGAGAAACCGGCCCATGTAATACGATGAATAATGTCTTACATCCAACAGATTGGAATTATAGTGGGACAGTTACACAGGTGACATATAATAATTCGGTAGCAAATCAAAAAACAACGGATCCAGGACCGAGGTAATGAAAAAGTCAAAATTCCAAAATGTTTCCTTTTGTTTTGTTCAGCAACCGTGGAAGGTGCCATTTTTATGGACAAACATCGGCGGTAACTACGATGTGGCAAGTTATTGATATGACAACAGCAATTACTCCTGCTCAACTTGATAATCAAACAATGGCGTTCGACCTTTCGGCGTGGATCGGTGGTTATATGGATCAAGACGACAATGCTCAAGTATCTTTGACATTTGTCAATCAAGCAAATCAAACTGTAGGTAATACTACAGCACTTGGTCCAGTCTTAGCTGCAGATCGGGCCGGTATAACGTCTCTACTCTATCGAAAAGCTACTGGACAGGTACCTGTTGGTGCTCGTTCTTTTAAAGTTTCAGTTACAATGACTCGTGTGAATGGCACGACTAATGATGGTGATGTTGATAACATAGTCCTTCGATTGTATTGATGTTGTTTAATGCTGAGTATAAAGTGTTTCAAATAAATATTATTCAATAAGATTTCAACACGTATAGAATACTTGAAGGTGTGAGGATAAGGGTAGAGAATAAAAGCAATCGCTTCCTTCTGCATTCTCACTCTAAAATAACTTAGTAGATATTGTTTAGTAAATGTTAGAAGGAAGAATAACATTCATAAGAACGAACAAAAGTGCATCGTGGCTAAGAATACTTCTTGCTTTCTTCAAACTTTACGTTGTTTTGGCTATAAAACTTAGGTATTTACAACAAATTTTTCTCACCCTTAAGATAATGGAGCAGCTCTCTGGCAACGACGACGAAGGCACGATCATGATTTGTCTCTGTTCTCACGATAGTGAAATCGGTGATCTAAAAGAACGATCGAATCATTCAATTATCTCTCACTAAACCGTCGATTCACGTATAAACTCAGTGCAATCTAATGAGGAGAGAAAGAAAATATTTCTTATTGTTTTTCATGAATTTATTTCCGAGATTTTATCAAATATTCCAGTTTTCAACCAAGTCGATCATCAATTAAAGAAAAACTCGATTTAAGTGACGAGCACAGTTCCAAATAGATTTTTTATGATCCAAAGCTTGCAATGAAAAGAAACTTAACGAAAAACGCCAATGATTTTCTCTGTATTTATTTGTTTTACGAACTCCTTTGGTACTTCCAACGTGATCACCGAGCTAAACAACAATTCAAACAGTCTTCGAAAATGCATTACGAGAGCAAAATATCGATGAACTCTACCAGCTACGATAGTTCCTTGCTGGTCTTCATGATTGAAGATTTAAACGCTCAACATGAGCAACCCCAGTGTCTTGTTTATCAATCGATGAAGCTGAGTCGAAACGAATTGAAAAAGTTCTCCAATTATCAAGGTAAACTCTTATTATATAAAGGAGTTCTGTTTGCAAGTCAGATGTATCCTCAGAAACGAACTAATGTTCTCTTGAAAATTGAAAGTAACGTCAATTACTCGAACGAACGACAAGACACTCTTTTCGATTTCAATACGTACAATTAGCGACAGTCGACGATGGATTATTAATCACGCAGAAATGCATTCAGGATACACGTCGTCGATGAGATAATCGCGACACTTCGAATCTAATTATTCGGTGAATTTTTGTTCGATATGCGTCAATGGGATCGAGCGAAGGTCTAGCGTGGGTTGCAGAATCGATTGGTACAATTCTTTACTGGAAATGTCAATGGAAGGAAGTTCGAATGTATTACGATTGAGACTATGATCGTGTGATGAGACCCGATCCACCACGTGTCAAAGATTCAGCCATGGTACTGCACAGTATTAGTAATATTTTGAGACTAGAAGGAAAACTTGACGAATCTTATGAATGCCATGAGAAAGCATTAGAAATTCGAAGCAAGTTCTATTCTTCAGATCATACACCGATTACTGACAGTTTAAATAATCTTAATAGCTTCTTGGTCAATCAGGATAAATATGGAAATATTTCGTCTAATGAGGAGCGCATAAGGTCAATCTATAAAGATTCTTATCCGCCTATGCATTATGAAGTTGCTGAAGGATATCTTTGTGGAACACCGAAGTATGATACGGTATCATATTGCTATCAAGAATCATTGAGAATATTAGAAGAATTTTATCCACCATATATTCCGAGTATAACGTCTACACTTAACAAAATGGGAATTCTGCTGAAAAGGCAGAGAAAATATGAAGAAGCTAGTAACTTATTCAATCGAGCTTTAAGATTATTTGAAGATTATTATTCATCGAATAGTGTTCAATTAAGTTCGGTTCTTACAAATATTGGACACGATTTGCTCAATCAAGCCGAACTTGATGAAGCTCTTTCTGTCTACCAACGAGTTATAACTATGAAACAAAAAGTCTACTCATCTGACCATATTTTTCTTTCAACTAATTAGAACTTCATAGTTTTCAGACGACAGCAATGTCCTTTTTCACTGTGAAGATGTACCATGCGGAAATTCATACACTCAGGCGTATAGACGAGGCAGCGTTCTTTAAAAAGAAAATCCTAAAAAGTAAAAAGCGCTCAATTACGACTCGAGTATAGACTGCGTGCAACATACAAAGTGCATAAAAGCTTCAAAACGCTAGATGAAATAACACACATCTATTAAACACTTGAATACAATTCAACAGAACGATATCATGATATTTCTCAGTATATAAAGACTTGGAGAATAGCATTGTGTTGACAGTCTTTCATATTCAATCTTATTTTTCTTTTTGAATCGCAGCTCTACACTCTGATTAACTGAAAACAACACATCATGCGCTATATTCAGTACATATCTCTTTTGACATATTTTCATGCCGTATGTACTGATGTACGATCGCGTATAGATCTATATCGAAGTGGCTTCGATTTTATCCCGGCTAATTCAGTTGAATTGTTAGCCACATATTCATCAATTAACAGTTATTTTAACTGCGGCATATTGTGCAATCAAAATCCTCAATGTCGGACGTTTGTTTATGATACACCTATGTGCGAACTTTTTGAAAGCGCCGTTACTACTGGTTCCATCGTTAGTTCGCCATCGACTACTCGTCTTGTTGGCGCAGTTAACTACAACGGAATTAATGTTTCGTCTGCTTACAACAAATCATGCAGTTATTGTTATCCTGACCGATATCTTGTATGTACAAACGGCACATGTCAGTGTCCATCTGGCACGTACTATGATAATCAAGGTAATTGTATCAATCAAATCTACGTCAATTCAACAACGACATGTCAAGCTAATAATTGGTGTAATCAACAGTTAAATTTGACTTGTCAATGTGGTCAATGTCAATGTCCATTGCAACAATTTTGGAAAAATAAAACGTGTGTACCACAATTACTTGCTGGAAAACCATGCAATACAAGCAGTCAATGTCGTAATGATCTTAATCTTGTTTGCTCACGGAAAAACAAAACATGTACACGTATGTTTATCACACCGTGTACCTTTTCACATCCTCTGATTCATATTTCCTTTTAGCTATGACTGTCGTGACAATTCCTGTCATGACTGGAACGCTTCCGAGTGTATTCTCCTACGTTGATGAATCGCTCAACACTTCCGGCGTAGAATGGTGGCGAGGTTTCGATGGTGATATTTATACTTACTGGAACAGACTTGGCAGTTACAATGTGTTGGATTATTTATTTTTAACTTTTAATGATACCTATCTACTGAATTCCTTACAATTAACAGTATATGGCGATCAAACACATGATCCCAAAACAATTAGTGTATATACTGATGAAAATGGGACCTGTTTCGGTCAAGCGTTCTCGTTTTCAAACGTCAGTAGCTTTACTACATTTCCAGTGAAAACTTTCAATACTAACACGAGACCCATCGCAACAAATCACGTACTAATTTCGATTGAACGATGGTCGACATTTCAAACTTACTTATTTGAATTAACTTTTTTTGGTGGCTTATATTAACCATAAGAATGAAAATCAGTTTTGACAGTTCTCCTAATTTCTCAAGCAAATAATCGATTGTAAAATCTTTAAACACTCAATTTCAATTCATTTCAAATAAGCATTTTTATCAACTTAATAAACTCCTGAGCTTTTTCTTTAAAGTACCATTATTAATAGATGTACATTCAATTTCCTGAGCAAAAAAAGAATTGATTCTAAACTGTAAACGTGACTCTACTTTGCACCTGCTTGTTCATAAGTGAATGCTTTTAAAAGAGATACACCAGCACATGCTACAGTTGAATTGAGAATAATTCTTATAGCGGCGAATAAGTAGTTGTTGAGATGCAGTCTGACGTCAGTTATTTATCATGCATGGAAAGATAGGGTCGTAGATACAAACATAATGTGCTGGTGTATATGTGATTTTTTAGTTTACATTTAACAATAGCACGTACGCTTCCACATAAATTTGAACTGGTTTTTAATACACATGTCTATTGAAAGCTTTCCAACTTTGGCATAATAGATACCTTCTTTTAGGAAAAGTACCATGATGATATTCTAGAAATGGTTTCTCGTCTATAAATAGACCTAAATTACGGCTCTTCATAATGTTTTACACAATGCTCAAGACTGTAGATGAAATCTAAAGTACATGGGTATGATCAAGTTTGTTAAAGAGAATTCAGATATTACGAATGCAAATATTGATTGCTAAACCCGTCGCATTGAATGTGAAACTATTGGCAATTTTTGCAACAAGTACATGTTTGTTCACATATACTTTTAGATCCTGATAAGACGAGAAGTTCTGCTGAAAATTACTAGTGACAATGGGATGCAAACATATAATTTGACTCGATAATGGCAATGATTCTTCTACGTTCAAAGAGAAAACAAAAAAAAGGTTAAATAAATGAAACCTCAGCTTGTTCTATGTGTTTCTGTTTCTCTAGTCTTCATTTTTCTTGTCATGCCTCTAAATTTATCTGCATATCCCTCGTTTCGTATTTTTTCTCCAGGAAGCAATGCTTCTCCAAACAGTTCCATTGACGTCAACACTTTTGGAATGGATTTCATCCATACACATATTGTTCGTGATTTGCTCAGTCAGAATACAACTGCTTCTTTGTTTAAATGTAATTTTTAATTGTTTTCTGTCGGAGAATTTTGTGTATACTCAGAAAAAGTTTCTTTTTCAATCAACTCCTATTATGAATCAATATTTGAATGCGATTTATTTATCAAAGAAATAAGAGAGATGTTGCTGTCCGAGATTTCTCTATGTGCAATGTTGAATAGCTTCCAGTGATATGTTTACACAGAAAGTGTTTATTGACGCCATAGAGAAAGAGAGAAAGAGTGAACTGTCAGTTTAATTTCATTTCATTTCTTCCTGGTATATCAATAAGAAAGATGTCGGTTGGTGATTTGTTCTTCTGGTTGATCTTGTTGAGTGTTGCAGAAGCATCAAGTAAGTCACTGAGCAGTGTCCATCATCGAGATATAGTTTAGTATAAAACTATCTGAATTATTTAGATGTTTCGTATAATCAACCAAAACTGGATGCTTATGCAGTGTGGAATCCAAATGCGATACTTTTTGCAAATTCATCTCTGGTCGGCGCCAATCCTCGTAGTCTTTTCGTTGATACGAATGACACAGTCTATGTTGTTGATCAAACAAACAATCGAACTCTTATTTGGTTCAACAACAGTATAAATCCATCAAGAACAATCTATGGCGAGATGAGCAAACCTATGTCCATCTTTGTAACAACAAGTGGTGACATGTACATTAGTGATTATAATACGAATAATCAAACTCGTAGATGGTCACAGAATTCAAATGGTAGTAGTCTTGTGATGTCTACTAGTTCAGGATGTTATGGTCTGTTCATTGATATCAATAACACTTTGTATTGTTCACTTTATCTTGTCCATCGAATTGTGAAGAAGTGGTTGGGTAACAATGCATCAACAATAACAACGATTGCTGGGAATGGATCAAGTGGATTTGGATTGAATCAGCTTAACAATCCCGGTGGAATTTTTGTTACCACTGATTTTGATTTGTATGTAGCTGATTATGCAAATAATAGAATTCAACTTTTTCAACCTGGCCAATCTAATGGAATAACAGTTGCAGGAAGTTCGTCAATAAATGTGACAATTATACTTCAAGGTCCTAATGCTGTCATATTGGACGCTGACAGCTATGTATTCGTAACGGATTACTCGTATAATCGAATAGTTGGATCAGGACCAAATGGTTTTCGATGCATCGTTGGATGCACTCTTGTGCAAGGCACGGCAAGTAACCAGCTTAAAGGTCCGTGGAATCTGGCTTTCGATAGTCACGGGAATCTATACGCTAATGAATGGGGCACAAGTCGTATTTTGAAATACACTTTATTGAATAACACTGGAGGTAAGAACTGTTGAAAGCTAACAACAATCTCCGAAACATGTCGACGCCTCCAAGACATTAAGTCTATTCAGGATGACGAATGATATGAAAAAGGAGTGAGTATGGAAAGTTCATATATCGATCGCAATATCATGCGAAATCCAAACGAAAAGATCAGTCTTTTGTACTGTTAGACAAACTTACATGAGTTTTCGCAAGGCATGACCTTCTACTTTCTACTGTTTTAGTGAAATCATATAACCAACCGAAATTATGTTCTAATGCCACTTGGAGTGTAAATGGAAGTACGTTTGCCAATCGAAGTATAGTTGGTAGCTACCCATCAGATATATTTATTGATACCAATGGCTCAATTTATGTCGTTGATAAAGACAATGATCGAATTCAAGTATGGTTTAACAACAGTATTAATCCAACACGCACAATCTCAGGTATTTCGTTCAATGTGAGCTCCATATTCGTTGCAAACGATGGCAATATTTATATTGATAATGGTATGTCGAATGGCTACGTTAACAGATATATAATGAATACAAACAGTAGTACTCCTGTTATGGCTATTAATTCATATTGTTCTGGCCTGTTTATTGACACAAGTGACACGCTATACTGTTCACTTTCTACTCAAAATAATGTTGTCAAAAAATGGTTAGGTGATAGCACAGTGATAGCCACAGTAGTGGCCGGAAATGTCAACGGTGCTAATGGCTCTTCTTTGGATCGATTATCTGGCCCACGCGGAATCTTCGTGAACGATGACTTCGTATTATATGTGGCTGATTCTCAGAACGACCGAATTCAATTGTTTGAACTGGGCCAATCTAATGGCGTAACAGTTGCAGGAAATACTTCCCTAAATATCACAGTCATACTGGATACTCCTACTGGCATTACGCTTGATGCTGACAATTATTTATTTATTATGGATCGTGATAACGAACGGATAGTCAGATCGAGCTCAAACGGTTTTCAATGCATAATTGGATGCTACGGTGGCAGTCAATTGTCTTATGCACAAAAGATGGCTTTCGATACCTTTGGAAATATATATGTGGTAGATTCCGGAAATGATCGCGTTCAAAAATTCCTTTTCACAAACGCTTCATGCAGTGAGTATCAAAATTTAATTGACTATTAGATGCATACAAGTATAATCTATATTTTCCAATAATAAGTACAGGAAATCTTTTTCATCCATATATTGATTATTATTAGCGTAGCAAAGTAAATCTTGCTGATCTCTTTTCGATTGCTATAACTATCCAACTGTTGCTATAATAAACACACGCTATTTTTTACGAAAGAATATCAGGTCCAAACAGTGATTTATCTGTATGAATCTTTGTTAGCACAAGTCGCATCAATATCCACCACATCGACGTCCACTAGCTCTACGTCTACAACCACGTCCACTAGCCCCACGTCTACAACCACGTCCACTAGCCCCACGTCTACAACCACGTCCACTAGTCCCACATCTACAACCACGCCCACTAGCCCCACGTCTACAACCACGTCCACTAGCCCCACGTCTACAACCACGTCCACATCCGCCTCATCAACGACATCGGAATCGACTAGCACCACATCCATATCAGAATCTTCATCGAGATCAATCTCAATGTCGTCATCGACACATACAACACCGCCCACGCTATCAAATGCCACAGATACGTTCACGCCTACCTATCCAACTACTACCAGAATATTGTTAACTCTAACAAGCACAATTCCTACAACTACGACGACGTCAACTATATCGCCGGTATCAAATCAAGGTAACTGCTTTCCTATTCTAGAAGATATGAAAGAAATAATGCATTCTAGGTTGTTCCACTCCAAATGTCATACTTACTCCCAGCGCATCATCCATAACATCACCAATTCAGTATCGTCGAAGTCATCATATCTCCATCATTTCGCTTATCGACTTCAATTGTGATCAACCATTCGTCATGAAAACTCTATGGACAATCAAAACCTGTTCAAACACATCATGCACACATACTATGCCATCTAATTCAGCCGTCAACACAAAATACACCGAACTCTATATCCCTCCAAACACACTTCCATATGGAATCTATAACTTCACTCTCACTGTTTCTGTTCCAGGATTCTCAACAGTGTCATCTGTCCTCATTGAAATAGTNTTTTTGACACATGTGATGAACGTGTCATGACTGAATCACACATACTATCAGCTGAAGAACCTTTTATTTACACACCATTCGCTGCAATTGAGCAAAGTTTATTCTCTCTTTTTCTTAAAGTTGCGAATATAATTTTTTTATTAAAAACTAAGAAACGTATAAACACACGTTTCATACAAACATTGATTGTAGCATTTTGCTCAATTTTCATGAATTCAAATCAATGCATGGGTTGATGTACTATATTATGTATCCAAAGCAGAAACTTTCAATACAAGAATAAAAATCTAATATTTGATTACATGCACAAATATATGTGGATTATACAATTTCTACTATATATATATATCGAGTTGAAACTCTCATTATAACGTTAATATTTTGTAGTTGATATGGTACAAAAAGGAAACAGACAGTTGCTCACTAAAACTCGTTTCAACTTTAAGTCATCTTAATCTTAATTAATAACAGGTACTAATTGAACAAAAAACAAAAACACATCTAAATAGATAATAAACGTAGAATGTGAGAATGGACGTGGATCCTTTTTTTTATTTTAGACCTTCGTTGAGATTTACATCAGAGTTGAGCATACAATAGGACATACGTTTTGTCCTGCCGATAAGAAATGTTTTCAGTTTTAACTCTGTCTTATCCATTCAACGGGACGAGTTGATCAGAGCAGCAGGCAGAACAAAATGGAAAAGTTTCCTGTGTCCTTACCTTATACTAACATGCATGCCATGATGATACTTACCTAACTGCCTCATTTTTGTTCTGAATTGTATCAATTGAAACTAGATAATTATGACATTCATAATCAAATATAATAATAACGAGCGAATGTCATAAACTTTGGAAGAGGTTCTCATGAATAGAGCGAAAAAAGGCTCCGAATCAGAGTTCTTCATTTTGGAGTGGTTTTGAATTTTTAATCAATTTTCTTTGAAAGGGCGTGAAAGAATTCTTTGCTTTACAACTAAAATCTATACCAATTATTGATTACTATGTGACAAGACTTGGTACAACGGTGAACGAATTTATTTTCATATTATTGAGTACATTCGTGGGCTTTCTTAAAATGACCTGGACTACTCCTCACGTTTGGAAACATGCTTATGCAATAGCAATATAAACGTGAAACGCAAATGCTGATAAGGGTATTTTGACATAAATCTATGCTTATGTGAAGAAAATGGTGAGATATTTTCTGAGCGTGCAATTAATATTCATGCTGTAAAAATGAATTCAAATGAAAAAGAGACTATTTGAAATTTATTAGATTCATTACTTAATTAGTAGTTATCTAGAAAATTCATGATGATTTCAAGAAAAAGAGAACAATCAGATTTTAATCTTGATCTTTTTTTTATCGTCATTCCAGAAAGTTTGTTGTTTTCGTAAAATACGAGTATCTTTTAATAGTAAAACGTATCGTTCATAATCTATAACATAAACATGGTAGAATTCTGTCGATGTGTGTAGTTTAGATGATAACTGAACATACTGATCTAGGCCATCAAGCCCTTTGAATTTCAACGGCTTAATCTTGTTCTAACATATGAAAAAGCAAAGTTTGGGATGGTTTACCGAGAGGGAGAGTAAATGTCGGTAAAAATTATCCTCATCCATATCCACACTGATATGAATAATTTACACTTATGATGAGAACTCATAATGTACTTCAACGTATTCTGAATATAAAAGAAAATTCAGTTGAAATAAATCATTTTCTTTCTATTATCTCAACTCGCGCAGATTGTTTATTTTGAATGGTTATAATAATAATTATCTAAAGGAAATTCATTAAATTTGTTTTTATTTATAATTTTCACCTATATTTTCAATTCTTAAAGAACAATAAAGATAATTATCAATATCGACAAATAAACCATAACAAGATTGACGAGAACTCATAACAATAATACCTTCTCTTGCATTTAAAGTCCATTTCTCAACATTTCTTATCATATCACCATTAATATAAATATTTTCATGATTTGTTACAAAAATACTCCAAGGTCTAAAAGCAGAATTTAAATAAATTTTTTTATTTATTTATTTGATTTTCAAACCATATAAATATTCGACTATCATCATAATGAATAAAATATGTAGTATTATTTTTATCCATAAATAAATTATTTCCTGAATTAATAACTATTGAAAAAATGTTATTTATAGAAATATTTTCTAGTTTCTCATGATAATTATGATGCTCATGAACATTTAAAGATGTTTCATTTCTTTTTTTCACATATACATTTAATAGTACACATAGATTTCGAAAAAAATCCAAAGTTTTCACATTTACTTTAGGTTTGCAGACATTCGAAAATTGATCTTTGAGTCTATTTATTATTGAATATATTTATTTATAGTGCTTTTGTGCTAAAGTATTGCCTGTGATTTGTATCCACTTTTTTCGCTTTTGTCTTTCTTGTAACAAAGGATTAAATAATCGTTTTTCTGCCGTGGCTCGGAAGATAAAATTCGACGCTTTCATGAAATGAGATCAAACAACACGTAATATCTGAATTAATCCGTAAAAAAAACATAACCAACGTTACTTATTTAGGATATCGAATGTTATTGACGGATATTTGTATCGGTCAATTGATTTTCGTTAACAAATAGAAAATTATTGTAATACGCAGAGAGAGAGAGAGAGTCGTGATTGTTTATTAGTTCCAGAAATTTAATAACGAATCGTTACACAAGAAAAAACGGTTAATTTTCTAATCGTTCACTGCAATACTTTGCGAGCTGATCGGATAGATAGTCGAGAAATTCTTGCGACAAATGCTCAAAATCGATGCTAATTCTACCTGCTGATTGAGTGTACCATTTACTATTGAACTTAATATTCTCCGGAGTTAGAAATATCTCTGGTACAGAATATGTTGACTTTTGCGAGAGTTGTTTGAGAACTTTCTTATTCGTTTGATTGATGAGGGAATTCGATAAGAACATTGCTGATTTGTTTGTATCTTGACATACACAATTGACAATGCTGATCATGGTTAGACCGATTTCACGATGCAAAACTGGAAGATCTTCTTCGTCTATGACTGATTGCTTAAAATGACGAAAGAATTGACGAATGAAACGCATCAAATTCCAAACAGTCAAGTCTGTTTCATTGTTGATATATCGCTTCGCCTTGGTTGGTATGAAATAGTGCTGATTTTTACATGATTTCTGGGTACAGTTCCGCATGTACCAATCTCTACATAGATTCGATTGTTCATACGCTTCGGAATGATCAAACGAACAGAAATATGGATCGTGAAAGTTATTTGGAACAATAGAATGGTAACATATCTGGCCAGTCCATAGTTTTTTGTAAATACGAGCATTGGTCTTTAGAATAGAACTTGTTTCGTGTAAATACACGAAGAGAAGGAGACCTTTTTCGAGATGGATATAAGTTAATCTTGCATTCGGTTCATAGAAATTATTCGAATTGTAATTCGACTTGAGTTGCATGTCTCCTGATTGAGTTGTTGGTTTTGTTTTCGTAGCCATCTTATCTAATCAATTGCATTGCTTTATGTTCAAGACGTTCCACCGTCATTCCTTCATCACTTACCTTTTTTTTTCACGTGAGCAATGAAGTTGAAAAAGAAAAGTCTTATGAAAAAATGCTTCGACTAGCATTTTCCGTCTGTTTTATATCTTCTTTTGTAATTACCATTGTTTCTATCGCAATGGTGTAATTCACTTTGTAATTACTGGGGTTTCAGAAAAAGTGATGAAACATCAGAAATCTTTCGCAATCTCACCAAGCCTTTTTCCTGTTCTGATTCAGTCGGTAGTGATATACAATTTCTTATCTCCAAAGCGACTTCAACAAGTCATCACCGTTATTCAGCTCTGAAAAATCTCACATAGAGCTGAATATGATTGCATGATAGTCATAATGTGATTCGATCACATCGAAGTAAACTCTACGGTTTATTGACTCACATCTTTCACGGAGCTTTATTAGTAATAACATTAAATATTCCGATATTTAAAATTTAATCGTATAGCACACTTGCATACCAGACTCATTTGAAGTTCATAAAAATCTATCTATCCTATCGTTTTCACGACTATCAACTACAAAAGATCATAGTACCAGAGAAATGAAAAATCGTTTATGGACGGTATTTTCGATCCGCACGTACTATCGAACTAAAACAAAATCAATTACTCATCTGGCACTTCAGTAAGGTTTTTTTATTTGCATAACGGTAATAATTCTTCGTTTTCTTTTTATAGTGGTATAATGCACTTTTTTCAATCAGCTGCAGTTCTTAACCTCTGTGTAACAAAGCGAGAGAGGGAGAGAAAAGAACCGACAAACAAAATAAATGCTCTTGTGAGAAAGAGAAAAATCTATCAGTGCGATTATTTTGATGCTCTACGAGAGCGATCACACAAGTTTCTTTTTTATTATAGACGTTAAGTACTCGAAGGTAAGCAGTACCTCTACATCGGATTAGAATTCTACTTTTAGAACGCACCAGCTCACGAGCTCATGAGTAGCAAATGAAAATAACGAACAGAAAAGAGAAGCAAAGGATTCTTTTCGGTCAGTCAAAATCTAATAAAAATTGAAAAAAAAACCAAGGACATCATCGCTCTGTCTGACAAGTTTGACACATTTTGAAATAACATTCATTTTCAGTATTTATTAGTAACATGAAAGCAGCAAATCCATACGATGCGAATGGATACCAGACTGAAATTGTTTCCGGCTCGTTCGATGACCTGCAACAACCGAGTCAAGTGCGAGCTGAACCAATACGAACCATAGCATACGACCAAGAATATCAATATGAAGAGGACGATACTGATCGGAAATATCGAACTCCTCCACCGTATGAACTTAAATTTTCGCTATTCGATAATTGCTTTTTTTTTTAAATTTTAGTAAAAATTCTCCGAAGAAATTTTTCACGAAATCTCCAAAAGATTTCGTCACAAGACTATGTCTAATTGGATTTGCAATCGGTCTAATAATCGGCATCATCATTTTGATTGCTATTGTGGTACCAGTCGCTGTTACACATTGTGCTTTAGGTAAATAAAAAATTCAGACGTCTGTCAATAGAATGTTTCGTTCTGTTTCTCTTCAAGGTACAGTTGCTTCCACTCCGAATTGGATCGGTAAATTTCAAATGGATAGTTCATGTGATCGATCTTCATGTTGTTGTTTCACGAATCAAATTATTCTTTCACAAGTAGCGAACAATCAGTTACAGCTATCAGGTAATGTGAATGGTGTTTGCAACAACGTTCCATCGACCGTTACTCTCACACAATCAATGCCTTCTGGATTTCAAACATATCTCATCTGGGCAGGACAAACAATTCGTGTTCAATTAGGTCTAGATAACTCTTACATAGCGCTTGTAAATGTTGGAACAGGATCATGCAGTGCGACGGGATTAAGAACATCATATAATTCTGTTAGTACGATGAGTATGAACGCATATTTAATTATGTTTATTTTAACGATCACAATTGGTAATTGCATGACATGACACTTTATCGTCTCATTCGGTTTTAGTTGAGCGAGACTTTTTTACGTTTTTTTTATGGAGCATGTTTATTAATAGATATCATTAAACCACGATCCTTTTTCGTTGCGGCTTTTATAGAAACAACAAATCAGCGATTGCATGAATGTAAACCTATTAGAAAGAAATCGATCAGTTGGCTATACAAAAATTACGCTTTGTTGACTGCATTTATCGCAGTGGAGTAAAACATAACAGTAGTGGTACCACTTGAGACATCGATAGTTTCAAATGTATCAGAGCACTTTCTTGTCGTCCTTGATGATCTATTGTAATTTGTTTTGTATAAATTTTCACTTTCAACTTTCAATGAAAGCGCCTTGCTCGTATTGAAACGTTACAGAACAATCGAATATGCTTCTCTTGGTATTTAACACGCAGAAAAAGAACTCAATGACTTGATATACAAACTAGACTCTCTTTTATACAACGTGTAAGAATTGTTATTGTATATCTCGGAATAAATTTCAATGACGAATAAGTCTTCTATAGAAGAATGACATTGAAACTTTGCTTTATAATTTCACCCAACCGTATTATTTTTTCTTTCATCGCTTATAATAACATTCTCATGGACGTATTTATACATACCGATGTAATTTAGAACGCAAAATACACAAATCAAGTGCCTTAAGGACATGTCTCTTTCAATGCACAATTATATTCAATGTGCTGAATAAAATGAACAGTGCAGCGCAAACTTCAACGTTAAAAAAATAGAAAACGAGCAAATTGTTCCGAAGTAATATACAGCACTCTCGATTTTCGATACAGTTTTTCATGCGAATACATTTGTCAGACGTCTAAAAACTAAAATAAACGCAGGTAGTTTGTTTACCGATGAAATTATAGTAGAAGTTTTACTTTGATTTGGAACAACGGTTTGTTTTCCGACCAAAACTCAGATTTCTCGTAGCGATATTCGTAATATGTATCCGGTTCGATGGATATATATCTAAAAATTCGAATACTCAAGTGCGAAAGACGCTGAAGATGCTGTTCGATTAAACTCTGCCATCTTTCACAGTCGAGCATTTCATGATCGACTCTTGAATACCAATAACGGAGTTCCAAATCGGTCAGATTAGGACATTTGGACAAAAATTGATGTACAGATTTAGCGGATGATCTCTTTTGAATGACTAAGCTCAAGTGGGTGAGTTGAAAAAGTTTCAAATCAGACATGTCGATATTTGAAGTAAAATAAGTCGCAGAAACCACTAACGAGCACAGATTCGACGCATGACAACAAAACATGAATAATTCGCTGTCAGACACATCCGTGAGAGTCGCTCTTTTGACACTAGGTAAATCGGACAAAAGTTGTGCCTCATCTTCACATACTAGTCCCAATTGTACATTCAAATATTCAAGTTGATTTCTACCAGCAATCGCAATCAATGACCAGATTTGCTGCAGGATACTTCCCACATGGACTTCTCCACTCAAACGACTCATTTTAATAGACTCCAACCGTTCCATAGGCAGTTCATTGAGTATTGATAGCGCTGAATATTCATCAACATAATGAAAATCAATTGCGCGAATACTTCGAAAGTTGATGTATGAACCGATGTTATGAATGAATTCCTTAGAAGCATCACTATGCATCATGAGTGTTCGACATTGAAATGGTCCTTTTCCCCGTAGAATGTTCTCCGACGTTTTACTTACATCAATCAATGCGGGATAACTATGTATAGCTTGATCAAAACGCTCCTTAAGACCAAGAAAGCCTTCTACTATTTCGTTGAAAGATAAATAATCGAAAACTTCGAATAATAGAGCATTACATAAATCTTCGAAGCAAGTCATTGTTGACGAAAAAAAATTATAAAAACTATGAAATAGCATTCGTTAGAAGAAAATCAGCTGTTTTATTTATTTCTTACAGGTTGAAACACAGTCTATAGCCGTTTCGAGAAAGGTGTCACTAGTAGACGATGAGATCACAACTTGAAAATGAATCATTTGCGTTTTGCATACGTATAATGTTATGAAATGTTCCATAATAGAATTAGTCGTTATCATCGTTCGCACCGACGAATGAAAGAAATGCGTTGAGTAGCATCATAGGTAATATGGCAAAATACTTAACCTATTGATAAAATAAATGTCTTTATAACGTAACAACGATAATGGGACGCTAGAAAAGAACGAAGTATTTACTTTTGAAGTGAATTTTAAAAGAAAAATAAAAAGAGCACGCTGATAGAACGATCTCTTTTTCTTTTCGACTGCGCAGGAACGACGAAAGATTATAGTTACTTTCAATTCACAACTATTGGATCAAATTACAGAACGTCCAGTTACGAGACAAATGAAACTCTCTCCGAAGACTAGAAAAATTCTACTTTTGACGGCCTTTCTTATCACAGTCGCAGTTTGTGTGCCGGCCACTGCGCTCATTACTTATCGAATATCAACATCAGCATCAGGTACACATTTTTTCAAACTTAGTATATTCTTCTTACCATCTAAATACCGACATTGAACCTATTTCAGGCAGTACACAAGCATCGTCGAAAGAAGATATTGTTGCTGACTTTATAATCATTGGTGGTGGTTCCGCTGGATGCATCGTAGCCGCACGACTAGCTGAATATGGGTTTGAAACTGTCTTAATATCGAGCGGAGCCAATGATACATTAAATCCGATGATGCGAGAAAAGCGAGCATACAGCCAATTATTTCGTATGCCTCAATTCAAGCATTATCTCTTTCCGGAACCGTCTTTAAATCTGAATGGGCGCGTTTTGAATACTATCGTGCAGAATACTCTCGGAGGTAATGGTGTTAATGGTGGTGGAATGGAACAAATGATGCGAAATGATTGGACATATTTCGTCAATGTCACGAATGATCAATCCTACCATCATCAGAATATGTCTGCATACTATAAGATGGTTGAAAACTTCACGTCAACTGCATCGATTTCGCCGTCTGAAAATCACGGCCATAGTGGCCCTATTATAATCACACAATATTACGATACGAAATTTGGTAATGTGTGGAAAAGTGTCGCCCAAGAACTATCTGAAACGTATAGCGATGACCTAGCAGGTTTGTCTGATTATGGATTTTCGTTTGAAGGCTCAGCGTTCACGAATGGTCTGAGGAGTTGGAGTGGTGATGCTTATTTGAGTTCCACTATGAGCAAGTATTCTAATCTAAAAGTAATTACAGAGGCTACCGTCACTAAATTGGAAATCAATGAAAAAACGAAGCACGTCGATAGCGTTTTATTTGTCACCTCGAACGGTCTATTCAAAGGAACTGCAAGAAAAGAGTATATACTGTCTGCTGGTGTATTTTTCAGTCCACATCTTTTGATGTTATCAGGAATCGGTGATTCGGATATTCTTCGACAACATAATATAACTGTAAAGCATGAATTGAAACAAGTTGGCAAAAATTTAGTGGACAATGGAGTAGTAACTGTCGAATATGACACCAAAAACTTTTCCCTTGGTGATTTGAAACCCGTTGGCTTGATTAATAGCCAATCAACAACAACAAATACTAATCCCGACATATTTTTCATCTTGAAACTGGATGAACAAACAAAACGACTCACTGTACTCATACTTAATATCTCACCAAAATCTCCCGCTGGCTATGTTTCATTGCACAATTCGAATCCGTTGGTATCACCAAAAATAAATCTAACTTATCTCAAAGATGAACGTGATACTAAAACATTTGTCAATGGTATCGAATACATTCGACGAATAATGTCAACATCTGTCATGAAGCAGTATGCTACATTCAATGAAACGCAACCAGGACCGAATTCAGTGAATCTATCGACTTATGTCATCAATACTGTTTCTACTGCTCAGCATTTTCTCGGGACTTGTTCTATGGGAAAAAATGAACAAACATCGGTCGTTGACAGTCATTTCAAAGTTCATGGTATAGATAATCTTCGAATAGTCGATGCATCAATATTTCCTGCCGGCTTCATTTCGAAATCTGGTCCGTGTTTAACAGTATATGCTTTAGCAGAAAAAGCTGCTCGCACACTGCAGCAGATGTATTCTTAGATTATTCTTACTTGTCGGAATAAAATATTTGCGACGTTTATACGAGTATATCTTCTTCTCCTTGAACACGGAAGTTTTCAGCAACTCGATATATAAAGATTGTCACGTCTTGCTATATGCGAAGGTCAAGGAATTATATATTCAGAATATATAATTAGAAAAGATCTTTGTTCTTGAATAAAGAGACAGAGACAGAAAAGAGAACAAGTCCAACAACGCGCAAGGAAAATACGTAATGACGTCATGTGTGTGTGGATAATTCCATACTACATCACAAAGATGAAAAAATCAGATAAGTGTATTAAGAAATGAAGAAAAAAATTACAACTGCGAATCATAAGAAAGTTCTAAGTTTTGCGTAGAATAATGGCGAATCCCAGAGCCACGATCCTATAACCTATGTACGCCAGAACTGAGAACGACGGAAAGTAAAACAGAGCCATTGTGAGAGCCACTATTCCGATAAGAACTGCAGCTTGAGCTTTATTATTGTTAATAATTGTTGTAGTAATTTCTGTGAATTTGCTCACTGCTGCTTGAAATACCAACAGGATTGTATACAAATCCGATGCAAAACAGAGTGCAAGAAAGAGAAGATAAACAAAAGTGTTAAAATCAAACTTATATACGGCAAGAGTTGCTGGTATCGAGATGGGACCACCGAAGCTCAACAGCTTGCCTAAGTAAGATGCAGCAGTGCTAAGAAAAGTAAGCCAGCCGGCGATAGTCATTGTAATCGGTAGAGAACAGAAGATCTTAAGAATACAAGTATGATGAAAAATATCGAATTACGCATATGTATCCTAGTTATATAGCAGAGAGAGAATTCTTGGAAAAAACCAAACATCTTCGACAATATACACGAAATGCGTTATTCACGACATGACTCATAACGTTAGCATCGTTATAGATAGATACTGATTTGACGTACATGTGTGAATGTGGAATGTTGTAAATATCGATATCACAATGAAAAAAAAACCAACCCATATAGTCCTCAATACTGAATACTGCTTTTAGTACGCATCGTCTTATCCTTGCTGCACGAAAGAGAAATAGTCTTTGAAAGACATGACGTCTGATCAATAATTTTCTCGTCATTAGAAAATTCTTTTATATCCAGTGTATGGTACTACGTAGTATGAGTGTACTTGAAGGAAGAATATACGACTTTTCCCCACAGGAAACGGTGACATCTATTTGAGAAGAAAAAGACATAGCACATGTACATTCCACCACGATCTCCTTATTTTCTATTCGATTCCGACTTAGTCTAATCGTTTTGCACATCTCAAGACAACTAAACTCGTTCTCTCTATATCATTGTTATTTGCCAGTATAGAAAATGGGTCGACTTTCAGCTCTTGTCTGGTACTGGTCGCTAGTGATTTTACCATTTTCAACTGTGATCACATTCATCATAACATTGATAGTATGTGGACAAGTACTAAAGAATAGTGGATCTGAATTTGTATTGCCGTACATTTCGCAATTAGGAATTGGTCCTGCTTATCCTTATTTTGTATTTGGTTTTGTTTTATTGTGTTTACAAATGCTATTCATTATTTTCGGTCGATTACAATATCTTTTTCAATCGCAGTCCGTTGTCAGTCACGTTAGTCTATGCTTTATCCATGCTGTAGCTGTCATCTCTGGTATATTGCTACTTATTATGGCTGTCATCAGTTTAGAACATAACGCTTATCTCCATATCATCGCTGCTTTTGGAATGTTTATATGTATATCTCTGTATTGTTTACTGAACAGTATTCTTTCTTTCTATCTCTATTCTCGACGCTCTATTATTCCACTACATGCCAGTATTCTTTGGCCGCTGTGGTATCTTCTTTGCGGTGTATTGCTCAGCATTTTTGCTGCTATTTGGATGTCAGGAGGTGGCGTTGTTCCACAGTATATCGCTGCTGGTATGCCTTTTCTATATAATCTTGGCTTCGTACCTCAGTTCTTGACGCAAGCAAGAAGTAAACAACAAAATACTTTGCCGTTTACTCCAGTTCATCGAACGAATGATATGGATTTATAGATAATTTATTTTTATCGAATTCACTTTGTGAAACTTTCGTGTGGTGATTACACATTGGTTGCTGTAGCTGCAGATGCTCTTGTTACAGCAATAAATCGACGATATAAGCCGATGAATATTTCTTCAAGTTTCTGCCGAAATACATTCCAGTGACTGTATAAATATAAAGCCCTGTACAGATGGGAATGTAGAATAAGACCAATACTATTCGAAAATATAATGAATGCCGAGTTTGTTGACAAGCATCTTTCTATCAATTAGCTAATATCTTTCCATACATCCAAATGATAATATTTCAGCACAGGAACACAAAATTCAATTGTAAATATCTGGGAAACACTTGTAGGTATACTGCAATGAATATCGACAAGTACTTGGAAAGTAACATACGTAGAATATGCATATCGTTTCGCTGCATACGAGGATGACCGATGACTGCAGAATAGATTCGTTTTTGACTCCGTCAAACGTTGATCATCGTGAGCACACCGATAATGCTCAGGAGAATTGGCGGTGAAAGATAATTGAGAATGATTGAATATAGAGGTTATGAAGGTGTTGCAATCATCATTTTCAATATAACAAAGAGTACAACCACCTTCTGTCAGTATAGTTGATTCAACAAGAGCATGGATGGGAAAAGTTGCTCGGAAGGCGAACACGCCTACAGCGAGTTGACGAGCTAACTTTCGCCGAGTCCATAGTCGCCTTCGTGCACTGAGAGAGGTTCACAGTAGCCGATCAATGCTGGCCAAAATGGTAAAACTCGGTGTTGAAATACATGTGAGATATGTAATGTAAAATTTGATTTTGCAGAAAACTAAGGAATGCACTGATGAATCAATATTGTAAGCTAGAAAATTCAAATTCAAGGCATGAAATGTTGATCAGTGAAAATTTTATCTAAGGATAAGTAGTTGGAAAAAAATATTACAAATGATAAATATCAGATGTGAATAAGAAACAGTAAGCAAGTAGATCACACAACTATTTGTTTGAAATATATGTCGGACAACAATGATGATATTCAAAACTTCGCCGATAAAGCCAAAGACGAATAAAACTGGTAAGGTTATTTGAGCGAAAATCATCTTAACAGATAGAATGGTTTGGATAGTAGAAAAGACTCCATTACATGACATTACCATGAATTTGCACTTGCTTACTATCAATCTCGGAAGGTATGTTTCTTCAGTTCAATGTATTAAAAGAAACAGTGCTTGTTCGTACGTTCAGTATCAATGAGACTTCTAATCGGATAAACAGAATTGATTCAAAGAGAAAATGTTAGAGCTCTGTGCTTCGAATCTACGTATTTCCACTTTCGTTGAACGTGTCGTTTGAAAAATAGTACTACGCTTTAAATAGATAATACTTTATTGCACTTAATTAAAATCGTGCGTACAAATTGCACAGTGAAAATCAGCTCCTATAGAACAGCCCAGCAAAGAAAATAGGCTACAGAACCTTTGGACGTTTTCTACGACATTTACATAGACCAGTACCACAGAGTTCAGCTCCGATAGAGCCACAAGCAGCACCTGCTCCAGCACCAATAACAGTTCCTCCAGCCGTACAGAGAGCGGCACCGCCTATCGCAGCTAGAACACCAGTTACACCAATTGGACCTAAAACGCTCAGAAGAAATACAGAGACACCGGCAAGGGCACCTACACTTAAAGCACCAGCTGCAGCACCCCTGCGAGCACCTACACATGCACCATGATCTCGACATTTGCCGCATTTCTGGCAACGACGACCATCACACGATAATGTTTCAGTTGTTAAAGGCATTGATGCTATATTATCATTTAATCGTTGATCTTGCGATGAACTTACTGAGTATACTACCTATGCAGTATGAAACGTATGCACACGAATTTTATAGAAGGTTGTCGTAGAATGTGTGAAAAATGATGTCATGTTTGTAACGATTCATATATGTGTAACGCCTTCTCTTCCTTTCCTATTCCTATTACTCATTGCGTCGCATTCCGCGACATTTATCAGATGTAGTAATTTCGTTTGCATGGAGAACAAATATTCGATTACAATCATATTGCTTTGTACATGCAATTACAACACGAGCATGAATCGAATCATAAAAATGAGTGGAGAAATGACATTGAAGTAAGGAAAAAGACAACGTGAACGTATACATATCATTTCTCTCTTTCTCACCGCATTACACCTACGTCTTTTATTTAGTGCGATACTAGTTATAGTTGACTATTTACGCAAATCAAAGATAATCTTTCGAGCTAGTCGTTTGTCAAACAGTTCATAGGCGTTGACGGCATCGGACAAGTGCATGCGATGCGATATGAAATTCGTGAAAAGGTTTTGTTTGCGTGAAAAGAGTTCTAAAGCTTCCGGAAACAAAGCTCGCACAGGACATCTTCCAAATTGCAAGCGTACATTCTTATCATAGGCGGCAGGACCCGTGAATGGAAACGCGTCTAACTGTACGCCAACAGAAGCAATAACACCCCAAGGACGAATAAGGTCGTATGCTAATTGTAGAGCATTGGCATGTCCAACTATTTCCAGAACAGCATCGGCCCCTCGACCATCAGTAGCTCTCTTAATTACGTTGATAGGGTCATTGTTGAGATTAACGGGAATAGCACCATGTTTCTTCGCTTCCTCTGTTACAAACGAATCAGACAACTTCTTTCCGGTGAGAACTCGTGTGACTTACCAAGACGTTCTTCAACACTGTCTATTGCGTATACAATTGGAAAGCGCTCACACGCAGCAGTTATGGCACACAAACCAACGGGTCCACATCCGACAACTACGACGATTAAATTGGGATCTTGGCGTTCCTTTTCGCTCAGTAGTGTCCATGCATTCTTAGCAGCAAAATATCCTGTAGGAAATATGTCGCCCATAAGAACCATCAGATCATCTGATATTCCCGTTGGAACTTGAACTGCTGTTGAATCTTAAAAAAGCTCAAATGCGTCATACACACTGATAGTAATAAATCTTACCAGCAAAAGGTATTCGTACATATTCAGCTTGGCCACCATTGAGTGATGGTGATCCGAACAATCGAGAATGTTCGCATCGTGAAGTGAGAGCCTTCTTACAATAGAAGCACGTACCGCACGATGTTGAAAATGGTACAACAACTCTATCTCCTATCTTGAACTGTGTTACATCCATTCCAATTTCAATAATTTCTCCAAAAAACTCATGGCCCTGAAAAATCATTCGTGCATCTTTACAAAGACAATCGATGAATCTACACTTGCCATAATAAAATCTGTTTCGCTCGTTGTTTCGTGTCCTCTGTAGACATGTAAATCAGAACCACATAAAGCAGTGACATGCACTTTGATGACTACATCTGTAGGATCTTTACATATTGGGATAGGACGATCTTCGACGACAATTTTTTGCACACCTTTGAATACAACAGCTTGCATAGTAAAGTTTACGTCGATAACAAAAAAAAACGAATGAAGGGAATTTGAATTGAGTTTATCTACCTTCGTGCTTGTTGCAGTAGCAGTACGATGAAAGAAAAAACAAAGAAGATAAGACGGCAAAATGTAACGATGAGATCGAGGTATTTTTTTTCATCAATTTATGTTTTTTTTATAAATCGATCTATGATCTGTTTTCTACTCGAACATTATGGTCTCTGATAATTTTTCTCACCTTCAAGCGATAACATATGGTAGATTCATCCACGAATAGAGAACTGCGATTGAATAAAAGAACGCATGCTGTTGGAAACAGTCAGTAAGCGACCAGTTCCCAAACACCGTAAATTATAGATAAAATATGACTTTATACAGATACATAATCATTGTGGAGTATTGAAGAAATATATCTTCTTCCATCTATTATTGAACATGACACAATAACAACAAGTTGCAACATACCATCAGGAGTGAGCAAGATGTGTTCGTTCGTTTGATAATCGAATCATCAGCGTACGAACCCGCTCTGATTGAAATATCTACAGAAGTGGTAAGAAAATAAATGCATAAAATGACCACAATGCTTTAACTGTTTGGTGTCGAACGCTCTTTGCTCCCATTCAGTGGATAAATCAGTTCAGAAAGTTCGAAACTAGATTCTATTGTAGGGGGTCTATAATTATGGAACAGTTCATTTTCAGAACTTGATACTTTTTTCTCAACCACCAAGGAAACCTGAACAGGATACTAGACTGGTAGACAGACTTTCGATGGACCTATACACCTTTTTATAATAAAGAAAAGAACTAGATATTTATATGATTGCCTCTTTCAATACTCTTGTATGTCGTTCACACTAACTTATCATTTCCACAAAAAATCATAGATGTCTTACTTTCATTGGCAAAACACACAAGAAGAACAGACAGGAAATTGTTGCCATTGTATGAATAGCTATCATCCGATTTCAGAATGTTACAAACCCATGATCACTCTCCAGTCCTCAATCTCTCATAAAATTCGACGAAATCAAAATATCTCGATAACTTGACATTCAGATAGTTGGATCAGCTCTTGTGGTAAATCTTGTTGCCTATAATACATTAGTGGTTACTTATGATCATCGACCAGAGCTTATTTTCAATCCTGGTGATTATTCAGTAGATCTTTATTTCATCAAATTCAAGAAAGATGTCAGATTTCATATTATGGGTTTTCAAACGACGTTCAGTTTTATAGAACTGGTTCTATGAATACTATTGTCGTACCAGCACGATGGATAATGATGCATTTCATTCGTTTGACGCTTCAACCTAAAGCTGCTTTCCCAATAAATCAAGTGTAAACACTCGCGCTTCTAAATCACTATCAGTTGATTTGTTTTACTAATAGACTCATGGGTATATAATGATTCCATTCATTCCTCGCTTGTAATCTTTGCACAATCATTGCAAATCAATGAGACATACAAGTTTCCTGTACAAATCACCCACCGAGAAGATTCTTCTGCACAATTCAATGGTTCTTTGAGGGTCAAAATCGTATGCGCTGAGTCTCCATTGATTACGACCAGGTTTGTTCTGTCTCCTGAAGCAAATTTCACAAGATCGTTCTTGAAATATGTGGTTGTGTCATTTCATCGATGTGTTCGTCCAATTTGCCATTTCGCTACGTCAACCGCAATGCACAACTTTTCACTTGATTCTTTCTGCTACTTGAATTGTGTACTTTCTCTGAATCAGATCATCTATTGGCGTTTTAAAGTCATTTATTCATTCGAATTGTTCACCCATCGAAACACATTCGATACTGCAAATGGAACGATGGTGACTCTATTCAAAGTTCGATGTTCGAGTTGGACTGATCTATGGATGCAATCCAAACTTGTCCAAAACGATGATGTTAGCTTATTCAACTGAACCAAGCATCTATCTACGTTTGCCAACAAATGTCAATCTGATTGTGGAAATTCGTGATACATTCAGTTGTATATTATCGTCCAATACTTCTCGCCGACAGGTAGTATTACGTAAGAACATCCTCTTAACAAATTAATTCATTCGCGATCTTTTTAATCACGATTAGGATCTTGTTGGGCAGTTAATTCTATCGATCTCACTTTTGCACAGCGAAAATCTGGATCAAGTTTGTTACTTCTCGAATTGAATAGATGGACGATGTCACAGATAATTCAACCATTGGCTTCACTTGGACAAATTTATCCCCTCGATTTCAAGGTCTCCTATTTGTTAATTTATTACTTTGATCACAGACTACAATTAAATTCAATGCAGAACTGAACTCTATTTTGTCCAGCAAGTAAACTCGATCTCTTTAGTAGGTACTATGGAATCCAATTGATTCTTGATGTTTTAGACTTAACGCGAGGGAAGATGTACCTTCATTTCCTCGATAATACTCCTATATTGACTCATCGTTCGATTATTTGTGGAATCCGTCAGTTGAATTTCGATGAAATGAAATGAATGAATTTTCTGTCTCAACAAAAGATTTCATCCAAGTTCGATAAAAATCACTCAATATGAGACATTTTCACCACACCCTCAACTTATCTCATGAATGCACGAAGATAAACATATTCTACATTCCCGACAAGATATTCGAACTAAATAAACCAAAAGCATCGAAACCTTTTATCATACGTTTATTCACACCTACACTGTCGAAAAGTTCTAATTCAATAATAAAATACCGATAGGAAAAAAGTGCCATATTCATTTTCCGTATTTATCAGCTAGATATTCCTCCCAAGTATTCGAAGACGACGATCTATTGTCACAAGTACATTCACCTCTCGCAAATGCCTTCATTACTCCACCAACGATAGGCAGATTAACAACCATTTTGTTTTCATGTCGAGCTTTCATTAATGATGCTGCTATTTCCTTGAATGTGTAGATTTTCTG